TTTTACTGACATTGAAAAATAAAAAAATCAGAAACTTATCAGAAGAGAACCAGGTGAACTCTGTGTCTGTCACTAATAACCACCTTTAACAGCTACACACTATAATTACATAGTCAATGTTAGATGTACTCCTAAGCAATTACCTAATAAAATTGCACAGTGTAAGTAGGCAATATAAATCATCTCATTAAAAGTGATTCTTTCCTTCTCATCAAAAGGAAGGGGTTGCTTAAATTATCTGAATAATCACCTTAATTCCCTGTTTGTAATTATATACGCAATCATTCTTTGTATATTTTGGGTTAGGTCCAGGCAAAAGTAAGTTCTATCAAAGTTATATATACTCAATTTATCACAATGCCCTTTAAAAATTTTAAGTCAATAACTAATTATACAATCATTAGAAATAGACTGTGGGAACATAACTGTATGCAATAACTGTAACTATAATAATTTATTGTTTTACTTAAACTTCAAAAGGACCAACAGTAAAAATTTCTTTTCACTAAGTCTTAGGCAACATAATCTGTATGGCCTTTGAACCCATATTTTCTTTATCCCAAAGCCAGTGATATTGAGAGAGAAAAGAAGAGGACTGAGTCATATGCTTGGAGTTTCAGTTTTGGCTAAGAAATACAGAGATTAGGGGTACAGGTCTGGGGGAGGCAGGATGCCTCCACGAGTAGCTACTTTCACTGTAGGACCCTCAACTCAGCACCACCATCACCAGATTATGTGTGTCTTTCGAAAAATGACATTGTCCTCCACATTCCTCAACCAAACTTCAGTTTGCTCATCTCTAAAATGGGCATATTACTACGTAGTGCCTTCCTCACAGGTTGTGAGGATAGATGACAAATGCATAAAACACAAAGCACAGTTTCTCACAAGAACATGCACTGGATAAATTTTAGCTGGTCTTATTAATTCTTGTGCCTTTGAGTATGTCACATGGTTTCTCTGTGCCCACATTCTCACTATTAAAGAGAGGTGATTCCAATGACTGCATTAGTCAGCATAGGCTAACTGCTGAAACAAGCTGCCCCACAAATCTCAATAGATTATTTCTTTTCACCTCACTGTCCAGTGAGGGTCCCTGGGATTGGAATGAGGTTCTTAATCCATAAAAGTATTTAGAGACCCAGTTGCCTTCTATCTAATGGCTCTGCCATACTCTAGGGCCTTGTGTCTTGTTGGCAGAAAAGGGAAAATGGAGAGCACTAAGGATCTTCGGGGCTTTTAGGGACAGGCCTGGAAATGGTACACATTACTTCTGCCTGTATTCCACTGGCCAGAATTCGGTCACACGGGCTTCACCTACCACAAGAAGTCTGAGAAATAACATCCAGCTATGCGTTCAAGAGGAAATGGAAACAGGACTTGGTGAAACAGGGCAGTGTCCATCACACCTTCCTGACTTCCTCAGGAGGTTGCTAATAAGATCACATGGGAATGTAAGTGTCATAGTGCTGTGGAAAGTGATAAACAAGCTATAGAAGATGCTGGTGTTGACAATCAAACCAGGGAGTCTCTGTGTGTCTTCTAAAGGGCTGAAATATACAGCAATTCAGGGGTGGGAGAGCAGTGAGAAGAAACCAAAATATAATCAGAATACCCATTTTCCTACAGAAGGATTCCTAATCTAGTAAGGCTTTCTCTCTCCACCTGTATCTTCAAAAATGGGCAACAATAAGTAAATAATCCTCTTTCTTTGCCCATTGGCCTGAACTACAATTGGAGTGCAGTAAAAATGTTTGTTTGAAGAAAAAGGGGAAAAATAAAAGGGATCACTTTAAGGAGTGAAGTTGTCAGAGGAGGCAACTTGAAGGAATCATTTGGTGGCATGTAGCCTCCATGGCAGTAATTTATCACCATGAAGATGTTGGGGAGTTAATCACAGCAGTGACATGTGTAACAACTCAGACACTAGACTCAGCATGAAACTTGTGCTTAGATGATGATACTATTAGGAGGCCACACATTTGAAACACACCACTAAAAAGAAAGAGCAGTCATTAGGGCCACAACCACAACCTTGGACCTCTCTTCATGACCAAAGTTAGGTTAATGCTATGCTAGAAATCCACTGAACCAACTGGGTGAGCATGTGGAAGGCAAACATTTCCAGGGTACTCTGTTATTTGCACCAGATGCATTTTTCACTGTGTTTTGAGTAACCGCATGGCCTGTCAAGAAAGACAGGAGAGGAAATAACAATTTGCCCAAGCTTGTGCATGAATGTTACTGTCTTAGGAATGTGCTAAGATCTGGCCATCTTTAGCTTAGTAAGAGGTCCAGGCCAAATCTGATTCACTCTGTTGCCTTCCTCCCAGGAATTATCCCCTTTCTTACACGTACCTTTGATCCACGGAAGATTCAACCTAGACAAAGGGAATGTGTCGGAAGCTCCCAGGCAGGCTTTGCTTTCAAACAGGTTCCTACCTTACAGTGTTTATTCAAAAGACTAGTCAAATAATTAGCTAAGGCAGAGCAATGGAGGCAATTCTTGGACTAGTTCAAACCTTCAAAAAGGATTTAACAGCAGTCTTGAAGAACTGAACCCAGGTCTTCTAGTACAGAGAAATAGGGACTGAGGCAGAAGCTGCAAAGGAGGATATGAAACAATGTTTAGAATAAAAATCTCTTCCTTGATATAAACAAATAATGACAAAAATTGTCCACAACCATGGCAATTCTTCATTTCCTTTTGCCATGTAGATTCCTGGCAGAGTGTGAGGGTGGAACTACACTGTCCCTATTTTTCAAATTAAGAAAATAAATTGTTTCCCTAACCTTTAACTTCTACTTCTGAAGGATAGGTTAAGCATTAAGACTTATGCACCAAAAGAGGGTACAGGTAAACCTCATTACATTTTGTTCATCTTGTGTCCTGTTTTCTTATTTCAATCTTCCAAAAGCTACTATGGAAAGACATGTAAAGGTCTAACAAGAAAAACAGCTCCATTGATAAGCCTAGTTTTTCAGTGACATACTAAAACCTGTAATCCTTACTAATTATCTCAGCAGTATGCCTCAATTTTTATATTTAGTTTTATAATTTTGTTATAACTTTGACATTTTAAATATACTTCATCCTGAAAAATTAACAAGGAGTAACCTGTTTTCCACTTAAGGAATTTCAAATGGAAAGAAGCTGGAAAAAATATGTTTATTAGTAGAAAGTGAGTATAGGTGGAACTTCCCCCCTCCGCTTATATATTTACTGATAACCACCAACAACGGATAGTGATGCAATGGGGTTAGGGAAGAACAGGGGTGGATTGTGCAGTTTCCTTTTTCTAGAGCTGATTTATTTTCAATGCTGACACAATCCTAGAGGTTACGACTCAAAGGAAGTATAGATAAGAGTGGTTAGAGTGGTGATGAAGACTGTTAGCAACTGACTGATCACCATCAATTCTTTTCTCTTGGCTAATAAATGTTTTTCCTTCTGAATTCATGATATCCATGAAAACACAGTATAAACTACAGAATGATACTGTATTAATTTATCCACATGGTGTCTTTACATGTGATTCTAGATACATCTTGTAATTAGTTGAAATATAGGATGCATTGTTCCCATTATTCATGTTACTATGCAATTTGAGAATAACTGGAGAGCCAATTAAAGGAGGATTGTTCTTTCATAAAATAACATTTAAGGAATGAGTGCCTGATGATCATATAAAAGAATCAAGTTATCTACCTACCCTGTAAGGAGAAACAATATGCCAAAATGCAGGTTTTGGGAACATAAAAAGAGGTTTTTCTATAAATTTAAATTGTGTGAAGGCCCACACAATCTTTGTGGTTTAAAAAAAAATGGTGAAGCGGTTATAATTACAACAGTAAGTTTTACAATCATTACAAAAGTTTTTAGTTCTTATTTTGGGAATGGTCTAGAAAAAAGTGAATAAGTTTACAGAAAACTGTTCCCACCACAACATAAGTCTCACTGTAATTCAAAGGGTAAAGGTAGAGCAAATAGGTTTCTCCATGGACATAACAGCTGGAGAATTCCTTTACCCATATAACTTTCAAATCCCTGTCTCACCCTCCATCAACCTTTCAAAGTTTTCGTGGTGAAGGTGCCTAAGATGGATGAAACAAGGCCAAGGCTCGAAGCTCAGTGTAAACGTTCTCACTGGGGGAAGTTCCCCGTAGGAGCGGAAATATCTCCGCGGTTACACACACAGCTCTCCCAACCTCACTAACTTCGCCAGGCAGTACCTGCGGGCCGCCTCTCTCCACAGCCGCAGGGCTCGGCCACCAGCGCCGGAGGAGGCTGCGGTTCCGTCTTTTTTTTTTTTTTTTTTTTTTTTTTGTCTAGGCCTGCCCAGTGGGGCGCAGCCACAGCCTGCGCACTGTCAACTAACTCCTTTCATGGTGAGAGGATTGATTTGTAGCTGTTTCCCCGCCCAAGCCTGATACCCACCACCACGTCCGTTGTGCGTACCCTACTTCCAAGCTGGAACCGCGCGCGCGCGAGCGCGCACACACCTTGGCCGCTCCAAGGTAGTCCCAGTGCAGCTGGCCTCCCTTCCCAGCACTCGCATCTGCCATCCACGTGTAGAAGGTGCGAAAAATAGCCCACTCGGAGCGGGAGGTAAAGTGGGAAAAGAGATGCTGGTTTTAACGCTATTGCCCCGGGTGCCGAGTTCAGAGTGGCTTGCGGGGGTGCCCAAGACTTCGCCGGGATTTTCCACGGTCGCCGCCGACAGTGGCCCTCAGCAGCACCGGCCGGAGGTGCCGGGCCCAGTCTCTGACACCACAGCCCCACCGAGCGCGGGAAAGCAGCGGGAAGCGCCCCCCGCGGCTCCGGGGACCCGCACGCCGGAGCCCCGCCTTCCGGGCCGCCGCAGGCCCCGCCGCGCGCCCTCGCAGCGTAGAAAAGGCAGACGCGCCCCGCCCCTTCTCGCCGTCCAATGGGCGCCCGGGCCGCGCGCTGTGTGTCTCCGCCTCTGCCAGGGAAACTTCAAGCAGGAGAAAAGTTTGTACAGAGGCTGGAAGGGCGAGAGCGGTGCTCGGAGCCCTGCAGCCGAAGCGGAAGAAGATGAATGGCCCCAGGTCAGAACCTCAAGCTGAGTGGACCGCAGACCGCCCCCAGGGTGCCAGAAGCGGCGTCAGCTGCAGCCGCCAGCCCCGATAGCCGCTGGTGCTGTCCACGGCCTGGCCGGGGGGCGGTCCGAACCCAGGACTGAGGCTTCTGCCACCTGCGCGGGCCGCCGCACACCTGAGCTCTGTCCGCCCCAGGACGGGACCTGAGGGCTCCGCAAAGCTTGCTTTTATCTCTGAAGGTACAAGAAAGAAAGAAATCCAAGATCAGAGTTCACTGATCCATCCCGCTGCCATTCTGGCTTTCCACGTTTTTGAAAGCTGGCCATTCTGACCCCAGTTCAGAAAACTGCCAGCCACCGAGACCCGACGCTGAGGAGGCAAAGGCTTGGCAAGCTTCACACGGAGCGGGGCGAGACTGAGGGCAGGTTGGAGGCGTGTCCAGGACACCTGAGCCTTGACCCTTGGGACTTAGGCGGCTACTGCCGCCGCGGCTACCACAGGTGAACAAGGGGTTCGGGAAGAGTGCGGGGCGGGGGGGGGGCGCTTCTCTAGGCAAGCCAGGGAGGAGAGAGCGCGCTAAATTATCTTCCATAATTTGTTTTCAGTGAGAGTTTTATTGACTCAGAATCTGTCCGGAATAAGAGCGAGCCACTTTTCCCTTGAGATAGGTGGTGTTCATCTTGGCAGTGGAGTGACTTGGGTTGCGGGGAGGAGAGGATGGCAGTGCCGACTAATAAATATTACCGTCAGTAGACTGGTGCTGCTGGCAGGGCAGGACATATCCGGAGCCTGGGGATTTCGGTAGCCCAAGGTGGTAAGTGGCTACAATCCACAATGTAGGTAGGATCAAGTTGCGCCCCTGGTCTCAGCAGCACATTGTTTCTTGGGCGCAGGTCTGGCACCTTGCAAGTGGTAACTTACGCTTACAGCGCCTTTGTCTCTCCTACCATCCGCAGACCCACCTCGAACTCCAAGGTTGAGTACCGCCGGCCACCACCATGTCCTCCCCTGGGGCTAATGTGTCTGCCTCCTCTGAATCCGACCGTCTGAACAGCCCGGTGACCATCCCGGCGGTGATGTTCATCTTCGGAGTGGTGGGCAACCTGGTGGCCATCGTGGTGCTGTGCAAGTCGCGCAAGGAGCAGAAGGAGACGACCTTCTACACGTTGGTATGCGGGCTGGCCGTCACCGACCTGTTGGGTACATTGCTGGTGAGCCCGGTGACCATCGCCACGTACATGAAGGGACAGTGGCCCGGAGGCCCAGCGCTGTGCGAGTACAGCACCTTCATCCTGCTCTTCTTTGGCCTGTCGGGCCTCAGCATCATCTGTGCCATGAGCATCGAGCGCTACCTGGCCATCAACCACGCCTACTTCTACAGCCAATTCGTGGACAAGCGGCTGGCGGGCCTCACGCTGGTTGCGGTCTACGCATCCAACGTGCTCTTCTGCGCGCTGCCCAACATGGGTCTGGGCAGCTCGAGGCTGCATTACCCGAATACCTGGTGCTTCATCGACTGGACCACCAACGTGACGGCGCACGCCGCTTTTTCCTACATGTACGCGGGCTTCAGCTCTTTCCTCATTCTCGCCACAGTGCTGTGCAACGTGCTCGTGTGCGGCGCGCTGCTCCGCATGCATCGCCAGTTCATGCGCCGCACCTCGCTGGGCACCGAGCAGCACCACGCGGCCGCCGCCGCCGTGGCCACTGCCGCTAACCCGGCCGCCGCCTCCCCCGCCCTGCCGCGCCTCAGCGACTTTCGCCGCCGCCGGAGCTTCCGCCGCATCGCGGGCGCCGAGATCCAGATGGTCATCTTACTCATCGCCACGTCGGTGGTGGTACTCATCTGCTCCATCCCCCTCGTGGTGAGTGGTCGCGACTGGGCCCCCCTATGCGAGTTTCCCGCATCCACCTTGCTTCTCCCCTATCCCGCTGCCTCTTCCCTCACCTTCCTTGGCAGTGAGCACGTCTCCGGGTTGGGGCTGGGATTCCCTCGCTCGGCCCCTCCAAGCAGGCCCAAACTTCTTTAGGTCGCGTCCCTAACGAAATATAGCAGGGGCTTTTCCCCTACATCCTCGAGTTTCTTTCCCCGAAAACCTGGTTTCCTTTCTGTTCCGGGGCAGCCCCTACCCCCTTGCTGCCTGACATTGGCTTTGAGCCTTCCGGGAACACCCGCCACTCTGTCAGATGTGCAGAGGAAACCGCTGTAGCATGACTTAACCCCGGCAGAATCCTGAATGTCAGGGGTGGTAAATCTCTTTGTTGTACACCATTCAGGCAGTGGGGTTTTTTTTGGTGTTCTGATTTATGTAGAAGTTTGTTTTTTGGTAGATTATGTAGAATTTTAGACCTAGGAAAGAGACTGGATGTTTTTTCGTCTAGTCTATCTCCCTCACTTTACACAGGGAGTGACTTGCTTAAAATAACCCAGCAGAACTACACTGTCCAACTAGATTCCTCGCTCTTCCCCATGCTGTGCCCTGCGAGAACATATCAGTGCACATTTGGGTCACAGTTTCCTTACAGGGCATCGCCCAGGGTCCTTTATTATCTCTAGGGGTCAGGAAAGCAAGGTTTCTCAGGAGTCCTATTAAGGGTAGGTTGATGTATATGGGGTATTGAATTTGAGTTCTCAACAGCTGTGAGAGGTACAGTGCCATTCTAGAGAAACGGAGCTTAAAGATGCTCATCTTATTGCCAAGCCAAAACGCTGCAGCATGTGATAAGCCTCAGACCCATCTGACTCCAAACCCTTCTCATGAACTATTACATCATGTCTTCCTCCTAGAACACTTCTAATTTTGGCCTTGGTACAGTGTATGTGTTTGAGTTTTGGTGCACTACATTTTTAGGACACACCTGATTTAAAATTGCCTTTGGATTAACTTCTATAATGTTATAAGCAGAAAGGTTGAATGTGTACCCAGTTCTCTGCCTGTCATTAAAAGGGAAAGAACCAGGAACCGAGGAGCTCATGCCTGTAATACTTCATCCAGGGTTTCTCTTGAGAGCAACTACTTCTGAGTTTTTCTGTTCCTCAGAAAAACTCTATTTCATTCCTGGAAATTCTAAACTATCAATTCGGAAAGAGATAATTTCTCTGTGCTGATTGGGAGCAAGAGAAAAATAAATGTAATGGCTATTATTCCTTTCCCTTACTGATGTGATCCAGAGGTCTTTAATATAAAAACGTGGTATCTGATAAAAGTGACTGAAAATGGAAAGAACTTACAGAAGGCTGAGAGCCAGCATACGGTAGCTCCATGCCAATTTGCATAAATAGAAGTAAATATAACCGGCCAGAAGGGCCTTTAAACCATTCCAGGACCCAATATTATTTAGTTAAGTTACACTTGAGCCACATAAATATATTTTACTGTCTGTAACGGCAACTCGAAATACGGTGAGGTTTTGGAACAAACAGCTCTGCTCTTGATTGCGTTCCCTTCTCTGACCTCTACCTTACGTTTTACAGGACAGTAAATGACCAAAGTGTTTGTATTGACAGAACATCCACTTTAAAAAACAGTAATTAGAGCTGGAAGGTTAGTAACATACATATACTTTTTTTTAAATTAAGGTATCATTGATGTACAATCTTATGAAGGTTTCACATGAACATTGTGGTTTCAATTCATCCATATTATCAAGTTCCCCCCATCCCATTGCAGTCACTGTCCATTAGCGTAGTAAGATGCTATAGAGTCATTACTTGTCTTCTCCAATATGCACATACTTTTTAAATGTGTCTTGGTTAGAGATAGGCATGTGAAGCTATTGGTTACTGCGTGGTCACAGATGCATTGTTTTCTTCGAGCATCTAGAGAGGCATAAAAAAAACTTAATTCATCTTAAGGTCTAAAGCGGTAGACCTGGACTATGGTGCAGAGCCATTTGTCACAAAGCCAGCGTGAAATTATTTGAGAAGCTAAAGGCAAGAAATTATAGGAGCTCTGTTTGTGGTTTGCAGATTAGCCACATTTTAACTAACAAGCAATATGTGTTCTATATAAGTCCAGTAATGTTTAGGAGATACTAAGTCATTTTACCCTGAAAATTGAAACTGGCTCAGCTAAAAAGTAATCACACAGTGAAGCACACATGTAAGTAATAAGGAATCATGCAAGTAGTTGTAGCTTCAGTTTTTAGCCTTTAGTTTTGGCTACCAAAATCTAATTTCAGAATCAGTTTAATTTACAGCAAGTTTTACGATAAGCACTGGGATCATTCATTATGCTACCTACTCATTTAGTGACTACTGAGAATTAAAAACTTATTCACAACTATAGTCTTCCTTGGCTTACTTTTGCAACTTTTATTTTTTCATGTTTCTCATATTTATACAGTAACTTCAGTTTAGAATTTGTGACATGTAAAGCAGTTGGACCTATCTTCCAAGGAAAAACTAATGAAGCGCCTCTTACCTTTTATCAAATTAAGTTGGTTGCTAATCCTATTTGAAGAAAATCAATCTCTCTGAAACATTAAAATGCTTTGGAAAAGCTAATAGAGTAAACGTGGTTTACTTGGAATTCTAGAAGCTTGACATAGTATATATAAGGAAAATAAACAGTACTGAGAACAACCAAATTTTTGTCTTGTGAATGCTAAGGAAGAAAAAACTACAGTCGCTCTTAAAGGACAGTTGAAATTGAGTTTAGTATATAAAAAATAAATTGTTTTGTTAATCCAAAATATATGTTTCATAACGACAGCTTGAAATGGAAGTTTGAGAAAGGTTGGGAAATTAGTTGCAGACATAAGGAACTGTGCTGAACTTGCAAAATTTTCTTAAGTGAGTCATAATCATACAATCTACTAGGAACGTTACATGACAAGATTTAGTGGAAAGGTGGGTCTTGTCATTTTGTCTGTTGTTCTATTTATAACCAGTCTTTGGTTTTTTAAATACAGGAGAAGCTGAAGAAAGGAGACTATGCTTAACATAAATAAGAGATTAAATTCTTTAGACATTCGCAAACAAGACAACCCTCTAAGGTTGAACGTTAAGTGCTTGTAACTATATCAACTTTCACTGCTTAATTTGCAGCTACTAATGTTAAGATACAATTACAATCAAATCTTTTACCTCAGAGCTAAACAGTAAACACTGTTGGAAAGGTGTTTTTTCCTCATGCACAGGCAAGCCAAGGCTATATTTATTGCTTACTTGTTTCTTTTATTTTCTTCACTCTGAAGTAACAAGTATTCAATCTCTATTTAGGGGTAGAGGGGCCAATTTGATGAATCTTGAATGCTTTGAATGGGTAAAACTTAGACCTTTTTGAAAACAGCCTTATGTGAGTATGTATTCGGTTACTTACTATAAACTAGTCATCAATACAAAGCCTTCACCTGCATTTGATCAGCAAAGGCTTATTAGGACAGAAGAAAACTATGAATATTACACTTTTTTTTACTGTAGGCAAACTGTATGTGGAATCACAAAACAATATGGGATTTCAGATGAAAAATCACATCTATAGATAAAAGAGTAATGCCATAAATTTGGATACTGTCACAGCAGAACCTGAAGGATTTGATTATTTTTCAAATAAACTTGGCTAGATTAAAAAAATAGCAATTCCGAAAAGCCAGTTTTTAGTCATAACATGAAATTGCAGACCTGCAGTAGCACCTTGAAAGCTGCTGCATAGCACATGGAAGTAAGGTATTTCTTTCCACATCCGGCTGTCTCAGTTGAGTCTTTAAAAAAGCTGTAGGAAGAAGGTGGGGCTGGCCAGTGTTTCCACTCTGTACTTCAGTTTCCTCAACTACAGATGAAGGATTTATATCATTCACCAACTTCCTGGGTGGGTGTGGGTGAGTCCTGTTCTAAAGATCTTCGCACCATGGTTGGCTTAATTTTATTGAACATCTACTAGTAAGACTTTTTCCCCCCCAGAACTGAAGTGACTCTTGTAGTCTGCTATTAGAATGTTGAAAGTTAGAGTTTAAAAAAAACAACACCCTCAGCAATTTTCAATGGAGACTTGATTTAGAGAAATTTAAGTACTATGCTTTCAATAAATAGCCAGTTAGTGACTCAAAGCAAGAATAGAGCTCTTGTAACGCCACCCAGTCAAGAATGTTTTCCACTATCCTTTGCCTGAAAGTGGTTAGTATTTTTAATAACAGCTGTGTCAATTTTGGACTCTACAAGGGAGCTGGATAACTGAGCATGCATAGATAATTCATTTTATGTGCTTGGAACAGAACAAGAAGCACTCATGCACAAGTCCAGCTACAAGGTCTTGTTATTTATTGGAAAGCATTTCTACTTTGACAGTCAATTACAAAATTTATCTAATCAAAATTTCAACATTCTTTTTCAATTAGACATTCCCTGCCAATAGGTTATTCTTAAATAAGAAGTACATGTTTTTGATAATCTGTCATTAACCATATCCCCAAGCTACCTCTAAGCTGTGGTTTTCAAATTACTAATATATTCCAGTGGCCAAGCTTCCACATACAGGTTACCAAAAAAGCAAGGAGAGCCAACATATATGCTGCATGCTAGGCATTATACTAGGCACTTACACAATTTGTGCATAAATTATAGGAGAGCCAGGATTTGAACAGAGGTTTGAATCCCAAAGCTTAGACATTTACCTCTACAACACAGCCTCCTTTATACCTGTCATCGCATCCTTTGAATTTGTCATATTTTCTCCAACTTGTATTCCATTGATCTGAATTCCAATCCCTAATCATCCTTGAGAAGTTGTAATGTATGTCAACATGAGTGATAAACCACATGCGTAAGTCTGCAAGTACAGAAAAACAGACTGAATTCTTAAAACCACTAGAGAGTATATATGTTGTTTATGTTTGGCAAATTCTTTTAAGGTGTTTTCACCCTTGACTCAGAGGTTCTGTTTTATCAGCAACACCCTCTTCCAACACTGAAAACTGCCTGAGCATGTTTATTTGTGTAGCACTTAGGGCCTGTTAGACAAGAACTCCAGAAGAGTACTTTAACCTCCTCGCATGACATTGAAATACTGCTGTGGATATTCCCATCTTAATTTGGAGTTTCCCCCTTTCAGGTCACCAAATCAAGTAGCCTTTAAAGCAAAGCAGAGGTTGTTATGTTGTTACAAAGATTTTTCAAATATCTCAATCATTGCTGTATATGTTTTCAAACAGTTCATGGAGCTTCTGTTCATTTTTCTCTACTTTAAGTCAGTCTCTCCATTGAGAACATGCTGTAAAGGGAAACCCATTTTTCTTGATTTTTTTTCTCCCAAATAATTTGACCAACTTTTGAGAATGTTTTTACTTGATTTTGGAATGTTTGTTTTGATACTCATCTTTATTTGCTACCCTGTGAGCTCCCTTTACTGATATAACATTAAATGACCAGGGTCACTGGCTTATATTAATTGTAAGCTTTTTCATCCCCAAGGAAATCTAAAATAGGGCTTTTTTTTTTCATTCCCTTGTACAATAAAAAACTACTGCTGTGAGTGAAGGGCGGCACAAATAATTCTTTACTTGCTTCTTGTCAGCATTGATTATGAAAGTCCATTACTAATTTTTTTTACAACACTGACTTTTCTAAAATGTCCTAGAAATTTAAAAACAAAATGCTAACTCTTAATGCATTCCTTTAATTAACTACCAGTTTCATTACTTCTCTATCCATTTTAACTCTTAAAAATTTTTCCTCCTTTCAGTAGTAACCACGCTTATTTTCAGGTTGTGGTAGAACACCAGCAACAAAACATTTCAATGTAAAAAATCTCAGAAGTGCAAAGCTCTGATTCTTGGGAGATGGCTGTGCTTAGAATGGGTCTTTGGGATCAAAACTCCCAAGTGGCGTACCACTGCCACCTAGAGGCCAGAAGTCTCAAGTTCACACAGGCCCTGCCACAGATTTGCAGAGACTAGGCACAGGAGTGCCTGACTCTAAGTGATTTAAATCCATCATTTCTTTTACCATTAGGAACATTGCATGTGATGTAAAATATAACCTCATGGTTTTTACCAATAATTCCATCATCGGGAAATAATTCTTAAGCAGAACGTTAGCCATCTTGGTAGAACAAAAAAACACTGACACTGAAGTCTTCAGAAGAGCTGGGACTCCAGACCAGTCTACCTACAAGGTGGGGGACCTTGATAAGTTCCTCAAAACCTCCAGATCTCAGTGAGACTCATCTGAGAGAAGGTCCATAGACCCATGGGAATCTGCATAGGCACAGCTGAGAACTTCAAGGATTATGGTAGGAACCAAGGCAGTGTTTTATAAATACAGGAAATCAAACAAACATGCTTTGTCTTGATAATATCATTTATCCAAGCAGAGTTTCTAAAAGTCTTTTAAGAAAGCCATCATACTAGCTCTCCCAGAGATCAGGGTATTAATTTCATCTTGACCAATTTGTTCTGAGATTTACAGGACCATAAAATCCCTTATCTAAAACATGAAGGGCCAGATATACTTTAGAATTTCTAAGATTTAAGAAAGCTAAGTTAGTAATATACTGTATAACATGTAATACCCTCATCAGAACTAGACAGAACCTCTGGAACAAAACAAGAATATTTACACTAAGTGGAATAAATAAAACTACAAATGGCCTCACAGCCTAGTCAGTTCAGGTTTTTTAAACTCCTTTTACCCAAATTGGTACAAACCTTTCTAAATATCCCTATCTTTCTTAGTGCTTCATACACTGAATACCCATTATTATACTGTATGGTAAAGCAACAAGTCTTCAAGTCTTGTTAGAGATATCTGCCCCTAAGTAAATGGATTCTAGCTATGCTTCTGTGATTTCTTTCTCCTTTTTTATGGTTTTTATGCATCCTCCTTGGCTTGTGAGACTTACCTCTCATTCTCCCTAATGTAAAATAATTAGTAAGGACAAGTTATAATATTAAATAATTACTAAAGACAGTAATTATCTTAAGACCACTATTTTTATATTGGGTGAGTTTTCATATAAAACATCCTCATGGAATTAGAAGACTAGACAATATAATAATAATGCTTTAAGCGTAAATTTCAGAGTACATGTAACAACTACTTTTTCCTCTAAGGAATAAAATAAGAGTCTTCCTTAAGTTTATACAAATTCATGCTCTCCACGCTGAAGCATCTGAAGTTCCCAGAAGCTGGAATATCATTTCATTCTTCCATAACTGACATGCACAAGGAATTCCACTGCACATGGAATTGCCTGTTTGAAAGGTAATGTCCTTCTAAATTCAGCAAACTCCTGATCATCTATCAAACTTTAGTGCAAGCTGCCTTACCCCCAGGCAGCATCCTCTGATGCCCTCCCATCCAGGTCTGGATTAGCTGTGCCTCCCTGTATATACCTCTCCCATTTCATTTAATCACCCCCTATTTCATTTCATTTCACTCATTCATTCCTTGATCTGCCTTCCTGTCTTCTGCACTTTGGGTTTCTCTCTGAAGTGTTCTCTCAGAACCTGTCATGATGCCTGACACAGGAAATGCTTACTGTTACATGAGTAAATGCGTGAAAGAATGTGGGTGAGTGGTTATAGTAAAAGCAGAAAATTTGAACTGGCAAAAGAAAGACTCCAAAACAGCAATCAGGTGTTAGGGTCTCCTGTGTTTACCTCATTTATGCCATTCCTGGGGTACAGTGGGATGGGCTGGTGAACATGCCTCTCACCTTAAATTAGCTCAAACTGCACTGAAATGACTTGTCATCCAGAGTGATCTCTTGATACTTGGCCGTTTACTGGCTCAAATGCTGATACAAACACCAAGGAGAGAGAGATTCTGATTGGAGTTTCAGACTGGGTTTACTGAGTGGCGGTTGTTGACCAAAACTATAGTTTGCAAGCAGCAGGGAGCCAGGCTTAGCAGCTGAGTAGCAGAATCAGTTGTGAATTTTAGAATCATCTGGTGGCAGTTTGGAAGATGGATTGGAGAGGAGAGGAAACAGAGGCAGGAAAGTTAGTTTGGTGGATGATGCGATAATTTAGGTGAGAAATGCAATTAAGGGAAAGACCGGAAAAAGACTGGGTAACACTAGATGACCAGGGAACAGTCTCCTATGGAGAAAATAGAAGCTATTCTCTGGACATTCTGGATGGTAAGAGATTCAGACATTGGTTTATGAGTTTGCAGTATATTTTCTAGACCCTAAAATAAGGGAATTTCTGGACTTTTCTGTGATGACTAAATGGTTAGTTGACTTACAAAGTGAGTATGGGAAATCAGTGGCTACTGGAAAAAAAAGATACTTCACTAGAATTACAAAAACTTAAAAGCAATCACAGACACAACATCAGTAAAATGCTTCTCAAAGGTACTTTATAAATTACCTATATACACATTGATGTTAGTATGTCATCTAGGAAAGATAGTCGTAAGATAGTTAAAAAAATGATAGTTATACTAACTCAAAACTTAAGTGTAATTGTACAATCGGGATTTTCTGAGGCTTATTGCATATGCTGCCCCCTTCTTGCCACTTATTAAAAGAAAAGAGAGCAGCTCCATAATGCTACTGAGTTAGACATAGCATGTAAATGTTTTCCAGGTTGATTAACGATAATATCTAAATGTGGCCATCTTATTTACACAGGTGCGTGTGTTCATCAACCAGTTGTATCAGCCAGCTTTAGAACAAGAAATCAGCAAAAACCCAGATTTGCAGGCCATCCGAATTGCTGCTGTGAACCCCATCCTAGACCCCTGGATATATATCCTCCTGCGGAAGACAGTGCTGAGTAAAGCAATAGAGAAGATCAAATGCCTCTTCTGCCGCATTGGTGGGTCACGCAGAGACGGTGGGGGACAGCACTGCTCAGACAGCAGGAGGACATCCTCCGCCATGTCCGGCCACTCTCGCTCCTTCCTTTCCCGGGACCTGAAGGAGATCAGCAGCACATCTCAGACCCTACTTTACATGCCAGAACTCAGTGAAAATGGCCTTGGAGGCAGGAATTTGCTTCCAGGTGTGCCTGGCACAGGCCCGACCCAAGCAGACACCACCTCACTGAGGACTTTGCGAATATCAGAGACCTCGGACTCCTCACAGGGTCAGGACTCAGAAAGCATCTTACTGGCAGATGAGGTTGGTGGGAGTAGCAGGGCTGGGCCGGCCCCAAAGGGGAGCTCCCTGCAAGTCACATTTCCCAATGAAACACTGAACTTATCAGAAAAATGTATATAGTAGCCAAGGGAAAAAAAAATACAGCACTGTTTCTGGAAGCTTATAAAATCCTGTGCAATAGACACATAAATGGAGTGTTAAGCTGTGCTCAGAAGGGCTATTTTTGTCCCATAACTCACAATAGTGAACATCTGTCTTTAGAGCACTTTGCAGACAATCAAGTTAATTCATATGGGTTCTGAGGTCTGAAGCACATTGGTTGCCACCTCAAGATGACACAGGATTTTGGTCACAACTTGATAGCTGGTAAGATCTACCCTCAGTTTTTCTACTTGATACAAGGATGGCATAAGTTTTGCTATTTTCCTAACATCAAGAGCTTTTTATCTGGCACCCAGCAGAAGGCCAGGTACAGAAGGGCTCAATTCCAATAAACTATGAGGACTTTCTTATGGATGATTTAAGTGTCTCACTAAAGCATGAAATGTGAATTTTATTGTTGTAAATAATGATTTAAGGTATTTAAAATTATTTTCTTCTCTGTGAGAAGGTTTATTGTTAATACAAGGTATAATAAAAGTTATGGTAACCCCTCTCCCAATATAACCAGCTGCAGTTACAGATTAAGTTTATTTTTTTCATAAACAATGTGTTGAAAATTCATGGTAAGATTCATATCTATAAAAAAAATTAAGTTTTTAAAAGAAAGAGTTTATAACTATAAAGGAATAAAGGTAAATACTATTTAAGACATAAAAATTACAGTCCAAAATATTCTTTCGAAGCTATGTGCAATACATAGTGAAAATCCTTTAGTAATGCTACATGTATTTATCCAGAAAACTGGTTTCAGGAGAATTTAACTTGCTAGTAAATGTTTTTCTATTTTTGTCCCCATTAACTGGTACTTTTTAAAATGAATCATAAATTTTAAAGTTTTTGATAACCCATAATTGAGGTGCATAATATAAAAGTAAGTCTAAGCAGCTTGTTTTCCCCCTGAAAGTGTCCATAGTTTTACTTTCCTACAGAATGATCTAGAATATCTTTTAAAATTTAAGAAGGCAGCAGATTGCACCATGAAGGCCTTTTCTTTGAGATGTGGAAGGATTGGTTAAATTTGCATTTCACAGATAATCATAAGAGTTGAACAACATAAGGGGTGCAAAACTCAAGCACGTAAGAGTCACCTTCCAGCAATTGTGTAACACCCCATAATGCCATACACATATTTGAAGGACTCTTCTCAGAGAAATATTAAGCATGCTTTGTTGCTCAAAGTGTTTTTGTGAATTGCTTGGTTGTAACTAAATTCTGAGCCTGATAGTGATAATGGTTTTAAGAAGCAGTTGTACCAACTAAAATTATTTTGGAGATTATAGTAAATAAATACACTCAAGCTGAATTCCATATCATCAGTTTTAGGAAATTTGTGTGATTTTTTGTTCCTGGTCATTTTCTTTGCTCTTTTAAATTGGAAAATTAGAAATTGTTTAATTTTGAAATGACATCAAATTTAGAGAAAAGTTGCAAGAATAGTTAGTACAAAGCCTTGGATCCACTTTAATGGGGAATGGTATTTAGAAACAAAGATCTGGGTAAAAGGTATACTCAAAATTAGCAGTTTGTATGGGCAGCAGAGGAGACAGTATTGTTTACCTTGCTACATGTAAAGGACCCAAATATTTATTATAAAAAATCAGTATAAATTTAAGGCCCTTCCTATTTGTAAATTCTCTAGATCAGTCCTTCTTCAATTTTAGTATGCATTAGAGTCATCTGGAGAGCTTGTGAAAACAAGAGTTTCTGATTCAGTAGATCAGGAGTGTATGCCTTTCTAAAAACCCTGGTGATGCTGACACAGCCATTACAAGGACACACTTCCAGTAGCAATCATCCCCAGGAGTGAGGTCATGATTTGCTATTCGCAAGTTTTTAAAGATACTTTAAAAACACAGACCTGATGGCACAGTGATTCTCAGCTGAGGGAAGGACAGCTCAGAAAATGAGCATCCGGCTCAAATGTTTAAATGTCCTATTTCACCATGTTAACCAACGTCTAAGAAACAATGTTTTCAGAGAATATTTTTATTGTGAAAGAGGCTTTTGTTTCTCTCCATGTACCTTGTGGACAACGAGGCACACCTAGCTTTATATACAAATGTAGATANTCCCTGGCAACCACTATCCCTATGGGTTTGCCTATTTAGGACCTAGATGGGGTCATAAAGTACGCAGCCTTAGCTACCATTTGACTTTTTTTACTTAACAATATTTTCAAGGTTCACCATGCTGTGGCATGAATTAGTACTTCATTCCTTTTTGTGGCACGATTTGTTATGTGGATATACCACATTGTGTTTATTCATGCAGCAGTTGGTAGGCATCTGGGTTGTTTCCACTTTTGGGTTGTTACTGATAATGCTGACAGAAGCATTTAAATGCAAGCTTTATCTGTGAACCAAGTTTTTAAGTGTTTTCAATTCTCTATGCCTGGGAATGAAACTGTTAGGTCATATGTTAACTATATGTTTAAATTTTTTTTTGAGGACCTGTCCAATAGTTTTCCCAAGTGGCCGCATCATTTTACATTCCGAACTCTTTGAAACAAGTTTCAATTTCTCCACATCTTCACCAGTACTTATTGTCTGTTTTTGATTATAGCTAGCATAATAGGTAGGAAGTGACATCTGTAGTTGATTTGCACTTCTCCAGTGACTAATGATGCTACGAATCTTTTGCTTGGCCATTTGTACATCTTAGCTAGAGAAATCTCTGTTCAAGTCATTTGTACATCTTTAAATTGGTTTACATGTCTGTATTAGTTTGCTAGGGCTGCCATAACAAAATACCACAGATGGGGTGGCTTCATCAGCAAACCTGTTTTCTTACAGTTCAGAAGGCTGTAAGTCCAAGATCAAGGTACTGGCAGGCTTGGTTTCTCCTAAGGCCTGTCTCCTTGGCTTGCTGATGGCCACCTTCTAGCTGTGTCAGTACTCAGTATGTGGCCTTTTCTCTATACACATTCTTTCCTGGTGTTTATTCTAAGGACACTAGTCATATGGGATTTCAGCCCATCCTTATGAACTCTAACCTTAATAATCTCCTTAAAGGGCCTGTCTCCAAGAGAGTCACACTGGGGCTTAGAGCTTCACCGTATGAATTTCAGGGGGATACAATTCAATCCATAACAATTATCTTTTTTATTGTTGAGTCTGGCTTATTCTTAAAAGAACAACCAAGCAAGGAAAGACTTCAGCATCGTTTGTCATCTACTCCACATCTATTTATAAGACTTAGCAATGTTATGCAAAGACAGTTTCTTGTTATGGGAAACTTCTTCCTGACCATTCAGGGCCTCAAATTTTCTATGTAGGAAAGTTCTGATCTAACTGGCTGGTTATTAAATCCCACCCGGTCCCAGACAGGAAGATAATTTTAACACAATTTCCTAATCTTTAAGACAATCTAAACAACCAGGTCAAGTGTGTTGGTTAGCAAAGACTGATTGGTACAGCTATGGAAGGGAGGGAGGGAGGGAGGAAGGAAGGGAGGGAGGATGGGAAGGAAGGAAGGAAGGAAGGAAGGAGGGAGGAAGGAAGGAAGAAAGAAGGAGGAAGGGAGGGAGAAGAAAGGAAGAAAGGAAGAAAGGAAGAAAGGAAGAAGGAAGAAAGGAAGAAAGGAAGGAAGAAAGAAAGAAAGAAAGAAAGAAAGAAAGAAAGAAAGAAAGAAAGAGAAAGAAAGAAAGAAAGAAAGAAAGAAAAAAGAAAGAAAAAGAGAAAAGAAAGAAAGAAAGAAAATTGGCAGATTATTTGATGTTTGGCAATGTTGAGGAGAGTATATTTCTATTACACAGTCATATTTGTAAAAATTTTATGGTCTGAAAATACCAAGTATGCCTTAGAAACTCATATGCTATTGGTGGGGTAGAAAATTGATACAACCATTTTTTTTTTTAAATGAACTTGGCATTAACTACTGAAGTTGAGGATGAATACACCATCAACATGAATAATATGGCAGGGATTGAAACTTATCAAATGTCTTATTAAATAATGATACCAGAACAAACAGAACATCTCAGTGGTCACCTCTGGAAGATGCTAGGGAAATTATTGTTTTGGAAAGTGGTAAATAAAGGAAAAAAACAAAGCCTCCACTATATGAATTGCCTTTACTAAATAAATTGTTTCCTAAGGCAACAAAATAGTTGATGAAGGGAAATTTTTATTTGAAGAAGTTTTCTAGCACAAAACACTAAGAATTATCACCATTTTGTAGCCTCTAATGAAATAATGGATCTAAGCAATAAGAGTTATTGGCTGCTGGTATTACAAAGGGGAAAATGGCCAGAAATATTTAACTTCTGTTCTAAGTCTCCAAAGCCACCCATGATGTATTTTTCTAAAAAACTTAAATGAATCTGATCAATTTATAGGAAATGTAGGTACAGAGGATGCAATAAACAAAATAAAAATGTGGAAAATTCTCAAGGACAAATGACTCAGTTCCTTTAAAAATAAATTGCAAAAAAAGAAAAAGGATGGGAACCTATAGATTATAAAAGACCAAGAGACATATCAACAAATACAATGAAATGGACTTCGAATCCTAATTTAAACCACACTATCATTCAATGTGATATAACTGACAAGATCTACACTGTAGCTATTTAAAAATCTGAATTTGTAACTTAAAATCATAAACCACTAGGCCTAGATGACTTCACTTATCAGTTCCATTAAACACTTAAAAAAGTGTTTAATGGAACATTAAATTCCAGTGTATAGAAACCAAATATCAAATCTATAGAAGCCCTTTGAGAGAAGAGTAGGTGGAAATATTACTCTTTTTTAAATGAGGTCACCATTACCCTGATTCAAGAACTAAGAAGATACCACAAAAAAACTACAGACCAATATTCTTCATGAATGAAGACATAAAAATCCTTAAAAAAATTTACCGAATTGAATTAAAAATCTAAAAAGGATAATCCATCATGACCAAATAGGGTTCATCCCAGAAATGCAGCTGATTTAACATTTGAAAAATAATAAAATTCATATTAACAAAATAAAAATTACATGATCTTCTAATAGATGCAGGAGTTACATTTAACAAAATTCAATATCCACTCATAATAAATGGTGTTCAGCAAACTAAGAAAGGAACTTCCTCAATTTAATAAAGGACATGTACAAAAAACTATGTTGCCATCATAATTATTAGTGAAAAACCAAAGATTATAAGCAAGGCAAGAAGGTCCACTCTCACCTTCTATTTAACACAGTACTGGAGATTCTCGGCAATGCAAAAATGCAAGAAATGTAAATAAAAGGCATATAGTTTGGAAAGGAAGGATAACAGGGTTTATTCACAAAGACATGATAATATACATAGAACATCCTAAGGAATCTACAAAAACTAATGCAACTAATAAATGGTCAAGGTTGTAGGCTACAAGGTCAATACACAAAATTGTATTTCTATGTAATAGAATCAAATTGGAAAATGAAATTTAAAAACACTTATAATAACATCAAAAATATGAAATATTTAAGGGTAGACTTAAAAAAATATGAGTAAGACATCTATAGAAAACTAAAAAACATTATGAATAGAAACTAGAGACTTAAAACAATGAGAGTTATGCCAGGACAATGGATTTAAAAGCAGATATTAGTAAGATGGCAATTCTTCCCAAACTGATTTATAAATTCAACCTAATTCCAATAAAAATCTCAGCACTCTTGCATGTCAACAGACAAGTTGAGTCTAAAATGTATATGGAAAGGCAAAGAAACTAGAATACCTGAACAACTGACAGGGTGGAGAACAATGTTGGAAAAAAAATCACACTAATTTTTAAGACTAGGTACAGCAACAAGACAATGTAGTATTGGCATAAGAATAGACATATAGATCAGTGTAAAAGAATACAGAACACAGACCCTCAAATACATGATGCACTGATTTTCAACAAAGATGCCAAGGCATTTCAAAGAAAAAGAATAGTGTTTTCAACAAATAGTGCTTAAAGAACTGAGTATTTAAAAAACAAACCTCAACCTTTTCCTCAAACCACACATAAAATATTAATTTGAAATGGATCACAGAGTTAAAGATAAAAGCTAAAAGTGTAAACCTTCTAGCAGAAAACATAGAAAATCTTTCTGATCTTGGAGTAAGCACAGATTTCTCAGCACACAAGAAGCACAACCTTAAAAGAAATATATAAATAAGACTTACTCAAAATTAAAAACTTCTTTGAAAGATATCATCAACCAAAAGACAAGCCACAAATGGGGACAAAGTATTCACAATACATCATGTATCTCATAAAGGATTTTTATCCAGAATACAGAAAAAATTCTTACAACTTATTAACTCATATTAAAAAATGGGCAAAATA